CTCTCTCTCTCTCTTATTTTGAAAGTGTATTGGATGAAAATGATGAAGATCCAAATAGACAAAACTACAAATTTAGTCCTTGTGGTTTACAAAAATCTTTGGATAAGGTCCAAAAAGTTTTAAACTTGCATGACAGGTTTAAAATCAAGGGTTTTCTGGGTTTTTGGTCCTGATACACTTGAAAAGTCTATTTTACCCTTGTCATTTCTTTTTTCTATTTTCTTTATTTATTTTGGTATTTAAATAATTAAAAACAAAAAATAAAAAGTAAAATCTCACCCAACCCCCTCTCTCTCTCTCTCTCTCTCTCCCAACACCCAAGAACACCTTCATAATCTCAAGAACATATCTTCATAATCTCAAGAACACTCAAGAACATATTCATGAACTTAAGAATATCTTCCACAACCACCACCCTTTGACCACCATCCGCCACCACCACCACCCTTTGACCACCGTCTGCCTCCACCACCGTCCGCCACCACCTTATTCTACCACTACCACTGTCTGCCACCTCCATATATTACTCCATCATTACCCATAATCTCCTTCCTCTCCATCGTTCACCTCCTCCGACAACCTCTTTTCAACCATCTCCGGCAACCGTTCGCCTCTGAACAGGACCATTGTTCACCTCCAACAAACATCACGGTTCACCTCCGCCAACAACAATCAATCACGACATCCACCACCATTGTTGAAATCTAATTCTAACCTCAAATAAAAACCAAGAGCTTAAACTTAAAATCTAATCCGCAACTCAAATTCTAACTTAAATCTAAGCATGATAACTGAAATTAAAAAGAATCTACCACCTGACTTCAAATCCCACCTTGATTTACACGATTAAAATAATAATAGGCTAGTTGAATCTATTAGAATTTTGAAACCCAGATGATGAAGGTTCAGACCTAGATACTTTGAAGGTTGAACCATGAAGTTGATCAAGGAAACAACGTTCCAGGGATCAGGACCATCGATCTGATATTCAGAGATCAACGAGGAGGAGAATGATGAAAATTGTCGTTGCTTCCTGCGATTGATTTATCCCAAATGATGGCGGCGGTGCCGTTAGATTTAGGGTTCTGGTAGCATCTCCGGTATTGGGGTGGAAGGCAATTTTGATGAAGGTATTATCATCAAGTTTGGTTTCATTTGATGCAGATGATAGTCCCAATGTGTGGATTTTTCTATGGAGGTAGATGTGAAGAAACACTAGAGAAGATGAAGTTGGTGATTGGGTTGTGGGTGATCTGGAGAGAGAGAGAGAGAGAGAGAGAGAGAGAGAGAGAGAGAGAGAGAGAGAGAGAGAGAGAGAG